ATAGGTAATTTCGATTTAGTCAGTTGGTACTACTTTTTCGAATTTCAGACCTTTTCATTTCTCGGGTCCTTATTTTAATGAAATCTATATATCGAATATTTTGGTTTCTAAATAACTTTATCCCAAATATTTATGTATACAATAAACAATTATCCCAATTAACTTTTATTCCAAAATTGGGAAAATTATACATTGGGACAACAATATTTTGGGAAAATTTGGATACTCCCAAATGTTAATATGTTAAATGTTAATAATAATAATTATAGTACATGTACATGCAATTGATGTACAATTTTAATTTTATCTTATAGTCTTTAATTCTACAAGAACACAATTGATTTATTTTTAATTGTGCACTGTTCTAATATATTTTAAGCAATAATAGTCCGATACTCCGACAAGTACGGCGGTATGATTGATACAACATTTCCCCAATATCAATTTAATTCAAATTATGTTGGTATTGGAAAATGTTTGAGGTTACATCACGGACTAAGATGTACAGGACTGGACACGAGATGAATATTGTGGTTACGAAATGTTTTACAACAGGCGGAGTTCGGGGGGATATTTTCCTTTTAGCATTACTAGCGCCGTCTTAGTGGATACTTATGGAACTAGAAATTTGTATGATGTGTTCTAGTTCCATAAGTATCCACTAGGACGGCGCTAGTAATGCTAAAAGGAAAATATCCCCCCGAACACTGCCTGTTGTAAAACATTTCGTAGTCAACCCCCCCACACCCTCCAACCTTGTCGTGTCCAGTCCTGTATATCTTAGTCCGTGGGTTACATTATGTTATCAAATTCATGTTTGTCGGAGAAGGAGAAAGAGAAGATTAGGAGCGTCTAAACACAGGAATGCACCTTATGCATTTTGCGCATGCGCGTAATTTATTCTCCACTATCATGTATTCATGTTACGGTACGTCATGGGTATGGGGTAGTTGTCAGAAAATTGATAAGGATAGAGATACAATAATTTTGGGATTTAAAGTGTGGCCAACGTAAAAAAAAAATAACTAGCTTGTCCCATAATTTAATGCTTAATGCTTGTAAACCTTGTATATTACATATAAAATGATGTAGTCATATATTCCGCGTTTTTTAAAAAAATATTTATAACATTTAAAAGAATATATTTTTCTGTAAATGCTAGTTGTCATAATACATTTTAGATTCTGAGCAGAGCGATGAATGTATTGATTTTACAATGATGTGTTTTTATATTTTTTTTTTAATATGTCTGTGTACACGATAAGTAGTCGAAATAATGCTTCGATTTTCAACTACAGTATCTTGTTCGATTGGAAAGTGAATATCTTTGGTGCATTGGGGAGGTCAAAATTCTCAGTAGTTTTCAAAAGTGCCGTGAAAAACAAAAGAAAAATTAAGGAAAAACGGGAATTTTTACGCAAAATCGATTTTTAACAAAATCGAAATTAGTCTTTGGTGTAACTTTAAAACAAATGACCGTAGATACATGCAATTTTCACTGGTTGTTTATATTTGCCTTTTCTATACACAATAACGTTTTCAAAATATTTTGATTTTTTTTTTTCAAATCAAATCTTATAATATCTTGTTGTGAATTATTAAAATAACTTTTATTTCAAACCAAAATTGTACTTGCATTATTTCGAGAAAACTAACATCATCAAAGCTCTCATTTCAAATTATATCATCGTTCAAGTCAAGCAACATCAACCAGGTAAGAAATTATAATAGTATAATAGTACTTACTAACACAATTCCAACAATAAAATCATCATCAACGATAAGTTAATTAAGACACACAGGGTCGCAGACTCAGGTGCTTCATAAATAATCATAAATCATCTGTTGAAAGTGAAGCTTGGCGGACTAATGATGTTAGCATTAATATAATAAGTAATAACACGACAATATGATTATGTATAAGTATAATATATAATAACTTACAACTGGACAATTAAACTGTGACAGTACACACACATTGTATACGCTCTGTACAACGACGCCTGTGCAAGTGAATATTACATACATCAAAGGCCCTATATGCACGGATTATGTTAATTTGGTTTTGTACTTAAATACTTTACAACACTGTCAATTGGTTAGTTATTAATTACAGTCACAGTAATTTAATGCTAGATTAAATTAGCACAAGTCATATTTAAAAATGATAGTAATAAATAATAATGAATAATTTGACTTAAAATAATGATAAATTTATATAAAAAGATAATAATTGTTTTGATAAAAAATATTAAATATTAATTTCAGCAACTTCTTCTAGTAGCAGTTCTTGTCCACCTAAAAATTGTAATTGCTAATCATTAATGAACAAACCTACTGTCATTCATCATTTAAATATTGTTTATTTACTAGGATATGTTTCAATTTGTTGAGTAATATATCCATCAATTCTATGGCCTGTTCTGCGTAAAAATGTTTGAACTTTATCATGTTCATTAACTATGTTAAAAGTTAAATTACCATCCTAAAAATTCGAGCTGCTATAGGATTCACCTTTACTAGGTTATAAATTTGTATTTGTTTATTCCTCATGTCTTAAAATGGACTGTTCATAAAACACAAAAATAAAAAATAATTCTGTTTGAATAATTATAATAATTTTAATCATATACAATGTGTTGATATTTGCATGTTACAAGTTTACAATAATCAACAACCAAGTTTTTCAGTTTAATTCTACATTTTAGAATGTTTTTATATTAATATAGATTTTTTAATTATCACCTATTTATTTATATAAATTATATCTCTATCTTATAAACTATAAAGGTACCTGGTTGTATTACCTCAATAGTGCCAAGCATTCCAGCAGATATATTAAGTTATATCAATTCTGTCAAAAAGAGATGTTAATTTACTATCATTGTATGCTGATCATAATGTGAACTATATGCCAACTAATTTAATAATAAGTACTTAGGCTATGTTAAGTTACTTGTTGGCTCGCCTTCGGCTTTAATAAGAAATAAATTAGGAAGCCTTAACGGCCGGGAGGATCTGCAACTTATGATGCAGCCGTCCCAAATGCAAAATAATATAAGACAATTGGTTTAGTTAGGTATATTAAATATTGGTAGACATATTATAAAGTTACAATAGAAGTTTGACCACTTGGTCCAATACAATAATAATAATTAATTAGGTAGAATAAGACCCGTCGGTCTATTATAATATTATAATAGTACACACATACCCTTGAGGTTATGTCGCCTTGAGGTGCCGGGATCCGTATAAATCAACTTAAATACAATAATACAATACAGGGTTGATCCCGCACACGCCCAAGAACGCCGCTAACCTCAACACGACGAACAAATCACAATTCACAATACAACTTACAGCTGCTACAGCGGACACACAACTTGACAAACCACGAAACTAAAGTCTTCTGCTGGTAATCAATGACCGCCCTATACTAGGGGAAAAACAATTTAATGATTGGCAATAAATGCGCTAACGATGGTTACCAGACAGAAGAAATCACAAAACACACACAACGAAAACGTGGTTCGACAGCTGCAGCAGGAACAAAACAAAACACATAGACGTTTTCACATCAACAAACGAAACGAGACAGAAAAAGGAGGCCGATTTTAACGGTAACACATTACATTTACATTACAACACGGAATAACAGTGTCACCTGTACAACAAAACAAAGTATAAAAGAAACAAAAACTTTAGGTGACACACAACTTTTAAACATGAGTGATAGAACGGCTTTTTTCAAATTACTGGAAAACAACAAAACATTGATAACGTGTCTCACACACGCACTGGGCGGTCAGCACACAACAGCTGACGCCACTGTCGACCGCGCGGCAGTGACGCGTGATAAGAACCACCACGGAGCACAGGAACATAATACAAAACAAACACAATTAATTTGAATCGCCATATTGGCGCGAACATTACTACTTACAATTTTTTAAACATTAATACTAAATATAAGTTTATCTACAGCCTGAATGTGATCCTAAAACTGGTAAAATTATTTGGTATAAAGAAGTTGTTAATGTTCCAGTTTTTCAATCTGATGGTATTAAATCAGTTTTTTAATCTAAAATCAATGAACAATATATATATATATATACTGTCAACTAACATGAAGATAATATGTTTCGATTTGATCCTAGTATGTACCTATATTTATATTTTCCAAAAATTATGATTTACCTATATTTCAATTGATATACTGGGTGATTCTTTTATCAAACAACACTCATTATTTCAAAAAGTGTAAATTTTTTTGAAAATATTTTTTTACATAGTTTCAAGTCGCTTATAAAACGTTTTTATAAAAAAATTATATTTTTAAATATTTTTTATCCTTATAATTTTTTATGTTTTTTACTTTTTTAAATGACAACATAGGGTTTTAATTTTATATTCTAAAGTAGAATATTTTTCTTAGTATTTTGAAATCAATCATTCAAAATACAATCAAATACATCAAATCAATCATTGAAATACATTAAAATCGAATTTGAGGCGAGTAGTTTACGAGTTATAAGTATTTAAAGTTTAGACGAGTGGAGTGGAGTGGTTCGGGGTTACCCCTCGAAATGTTTGTCCACTTCACCGCTCATCAAACTTTGAATATTTATAACTCATAAACTACTCAACCCAAATTCGATTTTCATGTATCAAAATACTAAGAAAAATATTCTGCTTTGGAATATAAAATTAAAACCCTATGTTGTTATTCAAAAAAGTAAAAAACTTAAAAAATTATAAGGATAAAAAATATTTAAAAATATAATTTTTTAATAAAAACGTTGTTTTATAAGCGACTTGAAACTATGTAAAAAAATATTTTCAAAAAAATTTACACTTTTTGAAATAATGAGTGTTGTTTGATAAAAGAATCACCCAGTATAATATATTTATTATATTGTTTTCTTAGATGATATACTGTTTGAATATTGCATCATATTCAGTTGGTGTAAGAATAAATTTACCTGGCAATAATGAAAATATCAACCTTGATGGGTACTTTCTGGAAATACTAATGCAATATTATTTATGTGGCTAATCTCATAATCCGTAATTATTGTCATTTTATCATATTGCAAGGGTAAAACATGACGAACATATTGAAACAGCTCCTTGTAAATAACTTCTATTTTACCAGTTAGTAAAGCGTATACCATCGGGAAACTCTGTCAAAAATTAGGAAATATTAAATTAGTCAACTAAATAAACCATTTACAGTATATACTATACAGGGAGTTTTAATGGTGATATTACTATATTACTAGTTAGTTCTTACAATATTTTTATATTTTATATGAAAGGTAAAAAGTTGATAACATTCCTCATCAATAGTTTTTGGAACCGTTTTAAAAGTACCGTCACACCCGGATATCCTTACCTAAAAAAAAAACAAACAAGAAAGTTAATTACACTGAATACGTCATAGGTATAAATACATTGAAACCATTTTCAATGTATCAACTTACATTTTTTATGTTTTCAATATATTTAATATTGCAAAACAATATACCGACAATTGTGCCATCAACCATCAGTGGTCCTTAATAGAATCTTAAAAAAAGATTATTAAATTAATAATCAGATAGAAATAATGTGCATGATAACTAAAAAACGTACAAACTTTCCGGTGTTTGAAATGTCATAGTGAAATGTCTATTATTTTCTAATAGTAACAAATCATTCAAGTAGTTCAAGTTTTTAGGTGTAGGTGAAAAAACAGATTTCTGAATTTTTTCATCCTCTCAGCAGATTGTAGAAAAGTATAATTAGTAGCACCTCCTGGGTACAATAATAAAATATAAAATCAGGGTAGTAAGATTTATTTCATTACATTAAATAGTAATATAATTTGTATAATTACCAAACAATACTTTCAACATATAAAGTGTGAGCTGAATATGAGCGGGCAGAGTGTTGTACACATTTGTTACCAAGTACATTTCTTAGTTCTCTCACTTAAGTGTCTGATGTTCAAACTCGATGATTATGCAATCTTTTGAGTGAAAAACCATTGCCCTCAATAATCAAAGAAATAAAAGCAGCTGCTGGGCATCCATTCGTTAAAGTTTCCTTACATTTTAAATATCTAATATATAAAGTAATTAAATTATATATCAAGAAAAAATAATAAAATTAAACAAATATTAGTAGAATAATAATTACCAAATTGTACTTACAATAACTTACATGGACACAATATCTATCATATTATACTCACTATTTTCATTATATAATGCACTGTTATGTCTTACAAATTGTGTCGTTTCCTATTTATGGGCTTTTGCCCATTTTGTATACATAAAATAAAATAATAATATAATTAAAGAACAAAACAGAAATAACTTGCACTTTTTTTCTTCAATTTACTTCTAAAGTAAAGAAACCCTAAGTTATCCTCGATAACCTCTTCATTTCAATGTACACCTGAAATTAGCTTGTACGTTTTTGGTCGATCTCCAATTGGTCAAAACTGAATTATATTGTCTATAAGTAAATTACTTAAATATTAATCTTAGAAAATTAAGTATGGAATTTTTATTTTTATTAATTCACAACTGGTTAATGATAAAGTATTTATTTTTTCGCAATAATTTTATAATATTTTTTTTATAGTAGCTAATGTTTTGTATTGTATATTTGTTATTTTATTAGATTATTTATTATTGATTAATTGTATGTTTCCCAAGAAATAAACTATTAATATGATTTGTTTGAATGTATATATTCTAATAAATAGATCAATGTACAATGCATACCGTCAACAACATTCGCTGCTTCAGCTACATCTTGAACTGAAAAAAATAATGCATTTTCCATGAAAAAAGAAAATCATTACAACTACAATTCATAAAGAGAGAATAATGTTAAGAAATAAACTATTAATATGATTTGTTTGAATGTATATATTCTAATAAATATATCAATGTACAATGCATACCGTCAACAACAACATTCGCTGCTTCAGCTACATCTTGAACTGAAAAAATTACTGTATTTTCCATTAAAAAAAGATAGAGAAAATAATGTTAAGAAATAAACTATTAATATGATTTGTTTGAATGTATATATTCTAATAAATAGATCAATGTACAATGCATACCGTCAACAACATTCGCTGCTTCAGCTACATCTTGAACTGAAAAAATTACTGTATTTTCCATTAATAAAAGATAGAGAAAATAATGTTAAGAAATAAACTATTAATATGATTTGTTTGAATGTATATATTCTAATAAACAGATCAATGTACAATGCATACCGTCAACAACATTCGCTGCTTCGGCTATATCTTGAACTGAAAAAAATAATGCATTTTCCATTAAAAAAAGAAAGAGAGAAAAATGTTATTTCTTAAATATTAATACTTATACATTTTTTATATATTAAATAACTTTATAAATTCTTACTTGGTAAGATGTATATAGTAATCGTGATCAATCAAATGCTCCATTAGTTTATTAAGTAAAATAAATAAACTAATTAAAATGAAGTAGATACTTAACAGTTTTTTCAAATGTTTTTTCGACGTACCAAAAGATGAATCCTAATATCCTAATATATAAAATGACAAGGAAATCAGCTGTCTACAAGCAACCCGTGGAACGGAAAACGCAGTTATAGTGAAACCGTGGAGTAAAAAATGAAGCACCGCTCCGTTTCCCCAGCCCGCCGGCCAAGTCCCGTCGATTCCTTATAGCGCGACCAATCGCGTACCTTCGCAGCGGCGGCAGTCGGTTTTAAAACGTTTTTCGTTATCACCTCTTTTCCTATCATTTCGCCAATTTTTGAAATTTTCGGAAAATTAGCTGTTTTTACACGATTTCGACCCTTTCCGTCCTTTTTTATACTTAATTCGAAGCCGCCGGTGTGTAGTTTATATTCGTGCGCCGTTCGAAGCGGTCGCAATGTCGATCGAAAAATACACTCCCGACCGGACTTTTTTGCCGATTTTTTCCTTTTCTCCCACCGTTTCGTCTATTCACACGCCGTTTGTGCCCGAATCGTGTAGTCGACGTCTTTTTAAAGCCGTTTATATGGGCTTTTCCCCCGAAATCGGTTCGTTCGCCTCGCAATCGCGTTTATAAATTACGCCGGCGACCGACCGACCGTATATATACATGTATAATTTAATTTTTCCCTATGATTTAATAATTATTAACGAAAAACGCTTTTCACACGCCCCGTTAAATATATATATGGGAGATGCGCGTATTACAAGCGAATTATATGCGATTACATCGATGTACATCGAATATATCGGTTTACGTCGCTCCGTAGACGCACGGCTTAAGTGTTGATGTTTTGATCATATTTCACATCTCAAACTGTGTCCAAGTAGGTTAGGCGTTAGGTAGTAAACACGTAGGTCCCGGGTTCGAACCCGTCGTACGCTGCCCGAGCGTCGAATCTGGCATTGCCATAAGGTCTACACGGCCGCCCGGAACCGGATTTTTTTTGCATTTTTTTTCACGTTATTTTTAATATAAATTAAATAATAATATAATAATACAGGAACATATCGTACATTATTATTATTTAAAGTCATTGTCATATTATATCATACAATAAATAGGTACATATTATATTTGTTTTGTTAGGAATTATTATAATTGCATATTTTTTCAAAAAGTCCATGATTGTTATATAAATATAGTTGTATTTTATTTCGGATTGCCTACCTAGGTGGCTAAATTGAAAGTTAATCGATTTTGACTTGAGATGACTGACTTGCTAGACACTCCAACACGGTTGTCGACTTTACACTTTTTACATAAGGAATGGCACCGGACATGCGAAGCCACATACCACTCTATGTGATATACCTACTATATATAGGTGATAGACGGATTGCTCATTTTAGTTTCGTCTTAAACGGTGATGATTGACTTGACAGACACTTTAACAGTTTAACATGCAGGTTTTTGCATTTTTTTTTTTAAATTAATATATATACATTATAGGTAGTGTTTATATGTACTTATTGTATTGGTTAATATAATAGTAGGTATGTATTATAATTATGTATTATGTGTTATAATTATAATTGCACTTTTCTCAAAGTGTTCATTGTTATATTATATCACACAATAAATACATATCATATTTGTTTGTATGTATATTGTATATAGTTTGAATTTTTCGTAAATTATTTCGTAAGTTGTGTGATAGGGTTTTCACTTATAGCCGCTTGACGTCGGGTCTGCAATCCACCGCAGGTGGATTGCCTACCTGATTTGCTGTAGCACATTGTCCGCGATCCGACGAAGTCGGATTGCCTACCAGCCTACCTAAGTGGCTAACTTGAAAGTTAATAGATTTTGACTTGAGATGACTGACTTGCTAGAAACTCCAACACGGTTTTCGACTTTACACTTTTTACATAAGATAAAGCACCGGGCATGCTACGGCACATACCACTTTATGTGCAGGTATACTCTATATAGGTGATCCTGGAGATCGTATCCAGCCTATCCATTTACAACGTTTGTGACGGATTGCTAGACACTCAAACTTCTAACATTCCCGCCAAAGCGTCTAGCCTTATATCCAATCCATATCACTAATCCTTATCACAAATCCTAAACTTTCGTCTTACAACCTTTGCGACTTTTATAATTCATTGTCTCCAAAATCGGTACCCACTCTCAGCGATTCCAACGGGCCCCGAGTTATACTTAGAGCTAGTATAAAATGACAAGGAAATCAGCTGTCTACAAGCAACCCGTGGAACGGAAAACGCAGTTATAGTGAAACCGTGGAGTAAGAAATGAAGCACCGCTCCGTTTCCCCAGCCCGCCGGCGATGTCCCGTCGATTCCTTATAGCGCGACCAATCGCGTACCTTCGCAGCGGCGGCGGTCGGTTTTAAAAAGTTTTTCGTTATCACCTCTTTTCCTATAATTCGCCGATTTTTGAAATTTTCGGAAAATTAGCTGTTTTTACACGATTTTGACCCTTTTGGTCCTTTTTTATACTTAATTCGAAGCCGCCGGTGTGCGGTTTATATTCGTGCGCCGTCCGAAGCGGTCGCAATATTGATCGAAAAATACACTCCCGACCGTACTTTTTTGCCGATTTTTTCCTTTTCTCCCACCGTTTCGTCTATTCGCACGCCGTTTGTGCCCGAATCGTGTAGTCGACGTCTTTTTAAAGCCGTTTATATGGGCTTTTCCCCCGAAATCAGTTCGTTCGCCTCGCAATCGCGTTTATAAATTACGCCGTCGACGGACCGACCGTACGCGTATACATGTTTATACGGGTATAATTCAATTTTTCCCTATGATTTAATAATTATTAACGGAAAACGCTTTTCACACGCCCCGTTAAATATATATATGGGAGATGCGAGTATTACAAGCAAATTATATGCGATTACATCGATGATCATCGAATATATCGGTTTACGTCGCACCGTAGACGCACGGCTTAAGAGTTGATGTTTTGCCTATATTTCATATCTCAAACTGTGTCCGAGTAGGTTAGGCGTTAGGTAGGAAACACTAGGTCCCGGGTTCGAATCCGTGGTACGCTCT